GAGGGAACTGCCTGGACTTGGCTAAACTTTGTACGGGACTTCAACGAAAAATACCTTCCACCCATCGTTCAGGAGAAAAGAGAGGACGAATTCATTAAACTCCAACACACTGTATATGCGAATTGCTACCGTATCAAATAGTAATAAAAGCTTGACAAATGCCAGAAAATGAAAGAATGCTTGCAAGGATAAGACGTTCCAGAAATTAAATGTCGCCCACCTGTCATCATCTCCATAAAGCTCTAACATTTTGGCTGAGAAAGTCCAACATTCACTTTCAAAGAAGACCTGGACTACAAAGATTGGAGACTTGAATTGGTAAAATTGGTATAATTAGTATCTCATTATTTTTTTGAAAGCTCAAAAATTGGTATAACTAGTAGCTGTGGGTTGATTGGGAAGATAATGTGCCAATTTTTGTGGAAAGAAATAGTTCCATTGTCGTTCTTAGTTGCAAGTCTTGGGCTTGTTAGAACTGGATAAGCACATGCTATAAATTTGAAAATGAAAGCCTAACATTTTCCCAACCTAAATATTTAAGATACGCGTTATAAAACTTGTCAAAATGAAAGCACGACAGTTGGCCTATTGAACTACCCAAAGACATGTCACAAGAGTTATATAGTTAATCTTCACCGTTGTCTTCATTCTTTGCATGTGGAAAAAATTATTAGGTATCGAAATTGCGGTCTTAATTTGAAATGTTGATAGGTCTCAAAAACCACTTGAAAGTTGTCCTGTATTTTGATCTTTAATCTTTTTGTTTAAAATTATGAGAAAATTCTAGCAAGTAAATAGATAAATAACTAAATAAAGTAAAATAATAAGGATGAGGGTTCATTTGCTTGCATCAGCTGAAGATTTTGTACAAGGCTATTTCTATGAACTGGTTTAATATCCTTTTTTTTTTTCAAATTCAATTTGGATCAGTATCTTAAATTGCTGGCTTTATCTATTTTCTATTTATACCTTTCCATGAATAATGTTACTTTCTCTTAGTAGTATAAAACTTGACGTAAGTAAAGATGAATCTAGGCCGGTTAGGTGCAAATGAGAAATTGCAAAAGAGAAGGTGGCTGGGGTTGTAGTTTTGAACTTTGATCCCCCATAAATTTTGGGAAAATGCCCCATGCCCATTGCCTCCTCCCCAAGCTTTTGCTTTAAGAAAAGCTTTTAAAAATTTACTCGTCCAATGTTCTTAGATTTTGCATTTGGCTATAGTTGGTCCACTTTTTATAACTTTCGTTCCTCATTTTGGACATTGCTCTTTAATTGATTTAATTGTGAATTCTCCTGGATAAAGTATTATTGCATTTTAATATAGCAGCTCTATTAATAATTGGTCTTCCTTTTGTACAAATTATCTCAAATAATTGAAATTACAATTGGTCGGAAATTTTCTCGTGAAAATCTATAAGATATATATGAAGATCATTTAATCCATACTTCCTATTTAAGATCCGAGATCGACTTATTTTCCAAAATAAGAGAGCATAGAGCAACTCATTTGTAGTTTGCATAAGTGTCTGCATCTCTTGCTTTATTTCAAGTCATCTTGTGATGACAAGAATTTTCTTCTTTCTTGTTTTCTTTTGTTAATTTTGTGAAAACTCAAAGATTTTTTCCCTTCAACATACTTCTACATGTCATCAAATGAAGTTAAAAGATAGGAAGCAAAGATTTTTTACTCACACATTCAACTTGCCTCTCATTGGACTATATTTGAAAGAGTGGGAACAAAAAAAAAAGATATAAATTTGTATCACTAAATGAGAATGTTAACACCGGCAAAGTACCCTTTCATATTTGTAGTCACCTTACCACCTTGACGACTATGGCACTGTCTGCAATGAAGACTGCAACTGAGGAAAACGATTGACTGATGAATTTAAGCAATACAATTTCATAGATTTGCGTCTAAGATCAACAAAAAATTTTTGTATCTCTTTCGGCTTGATTGGGAAGATAAGTATAAAATACAAAATTGTGTTCTCTGTCGAATGGGAAGATAATGTTCCGATTATGTGGAAAAATGGCATTGTAGCATCGTTGGACATCCCAAAGTCTTGGTCGTCTTGGTTTGTCTTAGCCCGTTAGCCCAGAATAAACGTCGAAGACTTGTAAAAATGTCTTGGAGAAAAAACAGACGAGGAAGTTGAGAGAGCGAGTGCGACCGAAAGTGAGTTGAGAGCGAGTGCTCAATATAGCCACAAAAATTGGCGTAACAAACGGTTGCTCTTGATAGATGCTGAGTTTGTACAATAATAAATATCTATTCAAATAAAATATAAATTTTACATATAACGGTGAGAAGGGTCGAATCCACAGGGACTGAGAATAATTCGTTCCTTCTAGAACACAGAGTAAGGGAGATTTTTATAAAAATAAGAATAATTAAATAACTCAAATAACAAGGCCTAACTGATAAGTTATTATATTGAAACATTAATAAATAAATTCTAACCAAGGAATAATTTCGGAAATGGTTCACTAAAATTGATCATTGATGCAATAATAATTTAACTTATTAATGGATAAACAAAGTTATAACTGCCAAACACGCGATGACTATCAACTTCTTCTTGCTATATTGGTGATTAAGGTACGATCGTTAACTACTGCCCTAATCAAGTGACAGGGTGTCGAAACCTGTACAATAATAAAATTAAACCTAATTGCCAGTTGAAATGACCAAAATCCAATTCCAAATACTGGAGCAGGGACTCTAGGTGTGCAATGGGTTACTTGATTCACCCTGTTCCCGAAGAGTTTGCTTGATCCGATATACCCGAATGGGATGACTATTTTTGCACAAATAATTATGAATTTGTAGACAGGGCAAGTAGGGTCGTATCTACAGGGACTGGGTATATTTGTTTCTTAAGAAATCCAAAGTAACACAGGGGGGTGATTTTGTAGGAACGACAACAATCCGATAAATTCAAGTAAGAAAATAAAAATAAATAACTAACTAGAAATTAAACCACAATTCACTGAACTTAAAGTAACAATAATTAAAGGCCCGAATCAATTGAAACAGGGAAAACAATTAAAAATGAAATAAAGTAGGCAACTAAAAGTCAAATGGCAATTCACTAAAATCAAAGTAATATTAATTAAAGATCTAGCCAAGAAGTAACTTCAGCAATGGTTCACCTAATTGATCATTGAAGCAAAGGCAATCCCAATTATTCATCAATAAATAGGTTATAACTACCAAATGAGCGATGTCAGTCAACCCCTCCTTACTGTGTCGGTGATTAAGGTACGCCCGTTAATCACTGCTCTAATTGAGAAATAATCCTACGTACGCCCGTAGCATTTAATTCCCCAATTGTCTTACGTATTAGAGGAGCCCTATTCTAACCAAATAACACACTACCAGGGTTATTTTAGATTAACCTGCGAATCCCCTTGACACGAATCTAATCGTGCCAGTTGTCACTATTTCAGGACAATTAAACAACTACGGATTCAATGCCCTAATTGACAATAGGTTACCAAATCAATTAATTATCCGGATCCAAGACAATCAATTAATTAAATAACCATAAGCATATCAATCACGAAATATGCAGATATCAATAAATAAAAGGAAAAGATTAGATTAAAACGATCTCACAATTTTTAGGCAACCCAAAGCATCCGTCGTTTCTTGACTAGAATGAGAAAACTACTTCATATTTGATGAACTAAGTCCATGGGAAATTTCAGCAAAAGTCACGGCCACTGTTTGCATTTCAGGAAGCCGCAATTCGTCGAACAATTGAAAGGCAAATGAAAGTTACAGGTAACACTTGAGTCTCTTAATTGTTCCTAGCATCCGTAGCGCAAGGCTACTCAAAGGGTACAAGAAGGAAAAGTCAAAGAAAGTAGGCTCCAATTCTTTGCTCCTGACATGCGTGGAGACAAAAGCAATGAAAGATTACAATAAGCTAACAAGGAAAAGTCAAGAATTAGAGCTAAACTCTCCTGCCATGCGCAGGAGCTCCTTGGTCAAAAAGTCTAAAGAGGAAAAGAACAATCTGATGCTAAAACTCTCTGCCGTCCAAGCTTCCTCCTTTTCTTTCTTTTAATTGCGGCGGCACCTCCGCAGAACCCAGCCCTCCAGCCGTTCTTGCTTCCCAAAAATTACCAAAATGGGCGTAATATCTTCTTTTCCAAAATACCCCTGGGACAAGCTTTATCATGTGGATTCTTTTTCTGTCAAATTGACACCTGTTATCATATTTTCGTTTTACTCCCTGAAATAAATATAAATTACGAAAAATGAGTAGAATTTACTAATTAATCCGCATCCGGTCAGGTAATAAGGAAAATTAATAATAAAATAAATAATAAAATTGCTACCTATCAATTCCCCCCACACCTAAACCATGCTTTTCCTCAAGCATAAGAAAAGTAAACAGCTACCAAAATTTTATGGTGGTCATTACTCTATCTACCAAATTGCCAAGATAACGAGAAAAATCATATATCGAGCACTAGTGATCAGAATCTAAGAAGCATCCCCCCAGTTAGCCTTTAAACTACAAACTCCTTCAATTTCCAAATTAGCTAACCTAAAAAGAAGGAATGGCACACAACATTTATCAGTTTGTGGTCCAGATATTCACACAAGTCTCCATATTAAGTCCATAAACCGGCAAGCTTTCTTATTATTTATTCTCTCTTTTTTTTCTTTTCCTGTTTTTGTTTTTTTTTTGTATAATAATAATATTTAACACAAAAAGACTTAGTCTCTAGCCGCCGAAGCCTTTTGGACGCGAACTCCAACATTTTTCGATGAAGGAGCCCGGTTACTCAGCTCCTACCGCTATACGACCACGTACTCATAGAAAGCATCACCTTTTGACGCGAAAATCGACACTTTTAGGTGCCGATTCCCGGTTACTCAGTAGTAGCTAATAGCGGAGTACAGTCAAGTTTATTCACAGCCAAACAACGCAAAAACGCGAAATAACAACACTAACAACCAAGCATAGGAGCAGCTCGCCTCATTATTGCCAAACATGGAGAACTGGAGTCAATATTGGGCCTAGTTTTAGAGAAGCATAGATGGATTTAGGCATGACATTTATTGATGCTCCCAGATCCAACATGGTTCTTCTAATCACAGTGTTGCCTATCCTACAGGGGATAGTAAACATACTTGGGTCCCCGCACTTCGGTGGAAGCTTTCTCTGCAGGACCGCTGACACATTCTCCCCAACAATAACCCTTTCATCTCCCCTCAATCGCCTTCGATTGACACACAAGTCCCTTAAGAACTTGGCATATTTTGGTACTTGTTTGATGGCGTCTAAGAGGGGGATATTTATCTCCACCTTGCGAAACACCTCCAAGATCTCCTTCTCCTTATCCTGCTTTTTCGATTTTTCCAACCTGCTAGGAAAAGGAGGTGGGTTAGTTTTAACTGTAATTATTGGGTCTGGAAGTACCTTTGGATCTGCACCATTGCTGTCCTCCCTCTCAAGCTCATTTTCGATCTTTTTCTCATCCTTGTCCTTAGGGATCACAGGTTCAGGCCCCTGAATTTCCTTCCCGCTCCTTAGGGTCATTGCGCTCACGTTCTTCGGATTTAATTCAGGCTGAGACGGCAATTTACCTTGGTTCTGAGAATCCAAGCGGTTGATTGTTGTGGCCATTTGACTTATCTGATTCCTTATGTCCTGCATTTTGAAGTCCGTCCTTTGCTGATTTTGCGTAATGGTTGCCATCATTTGTTTCATCATCTCCTCCAAAGATGGACCAGAGCTTGGGGGCGGAGGTGGTCGGGGTTGGTATTGCTGCTGGTACCCTGGTTGCTTATTTGGCACGAAATTAGACTGCATGTTCGGTGCAAAGTTGGGCTGCCTATTTCCTCCATAACTGAGGTTGGGATGATCTCTCCACCCGGGATTGTAGGTGCTTGAGTAAGGGTCGTACTGCTTTCTTGGCGCGGGCGCGTGGCCAACCATGTTCACCTGTTCTGCAGTTTCTTCCTGAATCATTGGGCACATGTCTGCAGAGTGACCCATACCAGTGCAAATCCCGCACACCCTGGCCTGAGATGCATTCCCTACAGCCAGTTGCCTAACAAACGAGGTCAACTCAGTTAGCTGCTACTGGATAGAGGATGTCTCTATCTCATTCACCTTACGTATCGGGACATCCTCTCTCGTACCGAATTGTTGTGAATTCTCTACCATCCCCTCTATCAACTCCCGTGCTTCCCGAGGGGTTTTGTTCACCAGTGCCCCTCCACTTGCAGTATCAATTATGCTCCTGTCTCTGAAAAGAAGCCCCTCATAAAAATACTGTATGAGCAACTGCTCACTTATTTGGTGTTGGGGGCACTTCCTGCACAACTTCTTGAACCGCTCCCAGTACTCATGGAGTGACTCCCCTGGGTGCTGCTTGATCTCGCAAATTTCTTTCCTTAGATTTGCAGCCCTGGACGCAGGAAAATATTTTTCCAGAAATTTTTTCTGCAACTGGCCCCACGTGGTAATGCTGCCCGGCGGCAGGTAGTACAGCCAGTCCTTTGTAGAGTCTTTCAATGAGAAAGGGAATGCCCGCATTTTTATTTGCTCTTCTGTGATTCCCGGGGGTTTCATACTATTGCACACAACATCAAACTCCTGCAGATGCTTATACGGCTCTTCACCTGGTAAACCATGAAAAGAGGGTAAAAGATGAATAAGACCAGATTTTAATTCAAATGGAGTGCTATTATCTAAATTCGGGAAAGTAATGCACAAATGTTGCTGATTTAAGTTAGGAGCAGCCAACTCCCTTAATGTTCGTGCATTAGCCATGGTGCCTTCCCCCTGATCAGAGTCACTCGAAGTGTCACCAAACGAGTCTGTTGGTTCAACTTCTGACTCAGGTCTCTGAGATGCAGCACTAGAGTGCTCCTCTCTGAGCTGTCTGGTCTCTTTTGTTGTCCTACGCGCAGTCTTCTCTACCTCGGGATCGAAAATCAAGTCACCTGTACGAGAAGACCGATGCATACACCAGAAAAACATCAGAAAGTTGGATCAAAAATAAATTTAAAAAGAAACAAATAATAACGCTAGTCCCCGGCAACGGCGCCAAAAATTGACAGGGTGTCGAAACCTGTACAATAATAAAATTAAACCTAATTGCCAGTTGAAATGACCAAAATCCAATTTCAAGTACTGGAGCAGGGACTCTAGGTGTGCAATGGGTTACTTGATTCACCCTGTTCCCGAAGAGGTTGTTTGATCCGATATATCCGAATGGGATGGCTATTTTTGCACAAATAATTATGAATTTGTAGACAGGGCAAGTAGGGTCGTATCCACAGGAACTGAGTATATTTGTTTCTTAAGAAATCCAAAGTAACACAGGGGGTGATTTTGTAGGAACGACAACAATCCGATAAATTCAAGTAAGAAAATAAAAATAAATAACTAACTAGAAATTAAACCACAATTCACTGAATTTAAAGTAACAATAATTAAAGGCCCGAATCAATTGAAACAGGGAAAACAATTAAAAATGAAATAAAGTAGGCAACTAAAAGTCAAATGGCAATTCACTAAAATCAAGGTAATATTAATTAAAGATCTATCCAAGAAATAACTTCAGCAATGGTTCACCTAATTGATCATTGAAGCAAAGGCAATCCCAATTATTCATCAATAAATAGGTTATAACTACCAAACGAGCAATGTCAGTCAACCCCTCCTTACTGTGTCGGTGATTAAGGTACGCCCGTTAATCACTGCTCTAATTGAGAAATAATCCTAGGTACGCCCGTAGCATTTAATTCCCCAATTGCTTTACGTATTAGAGGATCCCTATTCTAACCAAATAACACACTACCAGGGTTATTTTAGATTAGCCCGCGTATCCCCCTGACACGAATCTAATCGTGCCAGTTGTCACTATTTCAGGACAATTAAACAACTACGGATTCAATGCCCTAATTGACAATAGGTTACCAAATCAATTAATTATCCGGATCCAAGACAATCAATTAATTAAATAACCATAAGCATATCAATCACGAAATATGCAGATATCAATAAATAAAAGGAAAAGATTAGATTAAAACGATCTCACAATTTTTAGGCAACCCAAAGCATCCGTCGTTTCTTGACTAGAATGAGAAAACTACTTCATATTTGATGAACTAAGTCCATGGGAAATTTCAGCAAAAGTCACGGCCACTGTTTGCATTTCAGGAAGCCGCAATTCGTCGAACAATTGAAAGGCAAATGAAAGTTACAGGTAACACTTGAGTCTCTTAATTGTTCCTAGCATCCGTAGCGCAAGGCTACTCAAAGGGTACAAGAAGGAAAAGTCAAAGAAAGTAGGCTCCAATTCTTTGCTCCTGACATGCGTGGAGACAAAAGCAATGAAAGACTACAATAAACTAACAAGGAAAAGTCAAGAATTAGAGCTAAACTCTCCTGCCATGCGCAGGAGCTCCTTGGTCAAAAAGTCTAAAGAGGAAAAGAACAATCTGATGCTAAAACTCTCTGCCGTCCAAGCTTTCTCCTTTTCTTTCTTTTAATTGCGACGGCACCTCCGCAGAACCCAGCCCTCCAGCCGTTCTTGCTTCCCAGAAATTATCAAAATGGGCGTAATATCTTCTTTTCCAAAAATACCCCTGGGACAAGCTTTATCATCTGGATTCTTTTTCTGTCAAATTGGCACCTGTTATCATATTTTCGTTCTACTCCCTGAAATAAATGCAAATTACGAAAAGTGAGTAGAATCTACTAATTAATCCGCATCCGGTCAGGTAATAGGGAAAATTAATAATAAAATAAATAATAAAATTGCTACCTATCATCAAGAAATAACCCTAGGTACGATCTTAGAGTTAAAATTTTTAATTACTTTAAGAATTAGAGAAACCCTATTCTAACCAAATAACACGTCACGAGAGTTATTTTAAATTAACTCATATGTCCCCTGACACAAATCCAATCATGTCAATTACGATTATTGTAAAGCAATTAAATAATTACAGATTTAACTAGTCTAATTGATTTTAGGTTATTAGATTGAATTAAAAATTGGCCGCCCTTGATATTCAAACAATATAATAGCAATAAGAAATTAAATTAGAGAACATACGAATACCAGTAATAAAAGAATTAAATATAATCAATTCGATCTCACAATTTTAGATGAGTCAAATCCTCTATTGTTTTTTACTAGAATAAAGTGTTTAGTTCATCATCATGAAAAAAGCCACGCGCAAAATATTTGAGTTTAGTGTTTCAGCCATTCTCCAAAAAGTGCGATGAACAAGAAAAGAAAAGACGTGCGTTCATTTCTTACGACAAAGGAGAAAAGAAAAGGTTACGATGCTATTTTTTCGGATTTCATCTCCTATATCTCCTATAAAAAGATTGTTTCCAAAATTGGTGTCCTAATACAAATAGGAGACTAGTTATGCGCTGTAGAGTCTGACTTCCATGGCTTCAAACCGACTAAAATTCAAGATTAAAAATTACGTGCCAAATCTCGAGTTTCTGGACATGTAAAGTTAGACCTTGATGCACTGACGTCGAAGTGTATAGAAACTTAGTTAAAAATCACGTTCTTAACTTCTTTTAGCTCCGGATCCCTACAAAAACACCAATCACCAATCACCAAAAATAAATAGAATCTACCAAATAATGTAATACTTGGCCAAAATTAAGGGGAAAACAATCATAAATTAACTGACAAAATGCAACCTATTAGTTCTTTTCGAAAAATGCCTGCATGGAAGGACACGAGCACTTAATGTTGTGACTCGTGTATGTTTTCTTAAAGATCAAAATGTGAATGAAAAAGTTATCCAAGTATTCTTTTTAAGTGTAATCTTCATCTTTTTATATGTTTCTACGGTTTAAATCTTTAAAAGATTATGTAAAAGGGTTTTTTTTAATACTTTCTTCCAAGTTTTTTAGACACTTTCTTCCAATTTTGGTAATTTAATTCTTTGATACTTCATTTATTGTTTGCTGGGTTTAGGCACTGTTATTTTTTATACTTTCATTTGATAGTTTATTTGCTTAAACAAATAACTTTTTGATCTCAGTTAAAAAAAAACTTTGGCCCAACAAGCTCAATCACCTTTCAACTTTCTTTTTTTAAAAAAAAAAATCAATTTTCCAAGCATGTTTCTAATTTTAAAGAAGACCGACTTTAGTTTGAAGAGACATTAGCCCGATTAATAAGAGATTCATGGTTGGATTCTTTTGTCTTTTGTATTGGATTCTATTGTTTAGTTATAATACAAATTTGGATTTTATATTCATCATGTGTTGTTAAAGTGTATGTCTAGAGTTGTGGATGAATTTCCTCTATCTTGTTTGTGATGTTTACTTGGTTATTTTATACTATGATTTTGAACAAGTTATTTAGCAATTTTATTTATCTAATCATAATTACTGGCCATTAACTATGATAATTTCAATGTATTAGATTTGCAATGAGAATTAAAATGTAACACTAAATGCACTCACGAGAGTAGACGTGCATTTTTTTTGGCTTTGGTGGTATTATTTCATGTCATTTCACCGAAGAAATGAACTTGTAGTTAATTTTAGAACTACGAGAGTAGTTATAGTTTGATAACAACTTTTTTTTGGCTTTGGTGGTATTATTTCATGTCATTTCACCGAAAAAATGAATTTGTAGTTAACTTTATAACTACGAGAGTAGTTATAGTTTGATAACAAGTATAGATGATTCACTACAAGAATATGTTTTACATAGATTAGGAAATTACACCATGTTTAGTTAAGATAATAACACTCGATTAATCAGTAATTTTACTTGTAAGAGTATGAAGGAATTTCATAATCGTAGGAGTTTTTTATCGTCATTTTTACTTTATTTAATTTTACGATTGTAGATTAGATTTACTTGCTTTAATTTGTGGTTATCTAAAGAATAAAGAAATTGAAAACCATTCGTAATTGATAATTTTTCCTAGGGGATTAACATCTAATATCCCCTATAAATGATCTGGGAGAAAATAGAGGGTATTTAGGTTTTTAAAATTTGATGTAAAGTAAAAAAATAAAAAAGAACCAGCGTTGACTTGCTATCCAGAAGTACATGTAATAGACATTATTAGCCCCTGTCTGTTGTCTTAAATGCTGAGAGTATAATCATGAAGAAATTATCTCACTTGTATTTTCCCCTTGGACTCTTCTTGCTAGGTTCTCTCTTCTCTTGCTTAGCCACGGCCGCCCCCAACATTACCTCGGATCAATCAGCCCTTCTCTCATTGAAAGCCAAAATCACTGGGGATCCTCACGAAATCTTGGCAAGCAACTGGTCGGCTACTTCCTCAGTTTGTGACTGGAGAGGAGTCACTTGCGGCTCTCGCCACCGCAGAGTCACTGCCTTGAATATCTCCAACTTGGGCCTCACCGGCACCATTCCTCCACAACTGGGCAATCTCTCCTTTCTCATGTCCCTCGATATGAGCAGGAACAACTTTTACGGAGAACTTCCCCTTGAATTGATTCGTCTGTCCAGGTTACGAGTCCTTCGTTTAGGCATTAACATGCTTAGCGGAAATATTCCCTCTTGGGTTGGTTCCTTCCAACAACTCCGACAATTTTCTCTGAAGAACAATAGCTTTACAGGCTTTATCCCACCTTCTATCTCCAACATGTCAAAGCTGGAGACGTTCAATCTGCAGTTTAATTCTCTACAAAGAGCAATACCAATGGAGATTGGGAAATTTAAAAAGTTGAAGCAAATTGCCCTCGACTTTAATCAGCTTTCCGGTTTTCTGCCACTGGGGATGTTCAATATTTCCTCGTTGGAAGTTATTGCTCTTCAAAATAATAGCTTATCTGGCAGTCTTCCATCCAGCACATGTCCCCGTCTTCAAGGACTCACATGGCTTGACCTTGGCCTCAACAAATTAAGTGGTGCGATACCACCATCGTTGTCGGAATGTTCGAAGCTTCAGGTACTGAGGTTGGTTGGCAACAATTTAAACGGAGTGATACCGGAAGGATTTGGGAACTTGACGGCGCTCAAGGGACTATATCTTAGCGAGAACAATTTACACGGTACCTTCCTAACTATTTGATATACTATTAATTACTGGGTGCTTGAATGTAAAATCTCATGTTACCAAAGCTAGAAACATTAAGACTTTTGCTGGTTATAGCCCAACTCTTTTTTGCATTTTAGTTGAAATTGGAAAAAAAAAAGAGCTACATATTACTAGTTATATATTCTCAAACAATTAAATAATATATTGATTAGTAATTTGAAGGCTTGTATGAAGGAAATCCGGAGGTACACAAATTATAGAATAACATAAAGGTAAGTACTTATCAAACCTGAAAAAATAGTTGGTAACACTTTCGGTAACTAAAGAAGAATACAAAGAATTTTCTTAAAATATGCGGTAGTAAAAAAGACCGTATAACATTTCCAGACGTAATAATCAAAATATGAATGACAAAATCACTTCAGCAAACTACCAAAGCTTAGGCTTCCCTTTTTTTTTTTAATTTTGTGTGAAGTTATATATATATATATATATATATATATATATATATATATATATATATAAGCTTGAATCTTTTTATATGGTTTTTTTTCTAGATTTTATCATGTTTGTAATTATTAAGCATATTAATCTGCAAAAATATATGCATTTATCCGAAAGAAAAAACAATTCCATGTTGATTATATATGCAAATTTGCCTTTCTATTGTCTTCAAACCCTATTGACTTAAATATCTCTTGGTTGTTGTGAATGTATCTTATCTGAAAAAAAAAAACGCAATTCTGAATGTAATGAGGAAGAAGCTTTTAAGTAAATTCTTTAAAACATTCTAACACGAGTAAATTAATCCATAGCATGCACTAACATTTGTAAACGTGGTAACTCTCTAGGTAGCATTCCGCACGAGCTTGGCCGCCTAAAGCATCTTGAAATACTTGATATGGGCTCCGATAGCCTAACTGGATCCATACCAGCCCAAATATTCAACATCTCGACACTGCGAGAACTGGACCTATCGAGCAATACGCTTTCTGGAAGACTTCCGTCATCCACAGGTTATGGATTAATCAACCTTGAAATGCTTTTTCTCGATTGGAATGAGTTTGATGGAGTGATACCAGTGTCAATCTCAAATGGGTCTAAGCTTACTATGTTAGACTTGAGTGGAAATAGATTCAGCGGTCCAGTTCCAAACACTCTTGGAAACCTAAGACTTCTAAGAAAATTGTATCTCGATAATAATCATTTGACAACTGAACCTTCATCGAGAGAATTGAGCTTTATCAGTTACTTAACAAATTGTAAGTATCTGAAAATATTAGTTTTGTCTAAAAATCCGCTGCACGGTTTTCTTCCGAAGTCAGTTGGGAATCTCTCAGCTTCTATGGAGGGATTCTATGCATATGGTTGCGGAATCAAGGGAAGCATTCCCGATGCAATTGGGAATTTGAGCGGCCTAATGATTTTGGTTCTAGAAGGAAATCACCTGAGTGGGCCCGTTCCGAGCACAATGGAATACTTGCAAAATCTTCAAGTTTTGTATTTGGGTGGTAATCAATTAAGTGGTTCAATTGCAGATTGCATATGCAAGTTAAGGAGATTGTACCAAATTGATCTGTGGCAAAACCAGTTTCGTGGGTCAATACCATCATGCTTGAGCAATGCTAGTTCGCTGAGAGGAATTGACTTTGCCGGGAACTTATTAAACTCAAGCATACCTGGTAGCTTGTGGAACCTCACTGATCTCTTGAAGTTGTACCTGTCATATAATTCCTTGAGTGGCTCACTACCTTATGAAACTGGAAATTTGAAGGTAGTAATTCTATTAGATTTGTCAGGAAATCACCTTAATGGGAATATTCCAAGTTCCTTAGGAGGCTTGCAAAATTTAGCAACGCTTTCATTAGCACAAAATAAAATTCAGGGACCTATTCCAGACTCACTCAGTCACATGTTAAGCTTACAATTTTTGGATCTATCCAATAATAATCTATCAGGTCCAATACCAAAGTCCTTGGAGACACTTTTATATCTCAAACACATTAATCTTTCTTTCAACGGCTTAAGAGGAGAAATTCCCTCTAGTGGTCCTTTCGAGAACTTCACATATGAATCATTCATGTCTAATGATGACTTGTGTGGCGCTCAGAGGTTTCATGTTCCTCCATGTCCTTCTCCTCGGATTCACAAATCGAGTCAGAAGAAAGTATTTCATATGCTAGGCATTCTATCAGGTATTGGAGCAACAATAATTGCTGTTACAACTGCTGCAATTTTACTTATAAGATGCCGAAGAAAGGATGGGATTTCAAGAAACTCTGATTTGTTGCCCATGGGATTGCCAAAAATGATTTCATACTATGAACTTGTGCAAGCAACCAATGGTTATGATGAAAGCAATTTACTTGGCAAAGGGAGTTTTGGATCTGTATATAGGGGTATTTTGACGGATGGGACAGTTGTAGCTGTGAAAGTTTTCACTTTACTAGCAGAAGTCACTTCCGGGAGTTTTGATGCAGAGTGTGAAGTTCTACGCAACCTTCGCCATAGAAACCTTACCAAAGTGATTGCTAGTTGCTCTAACCTGGACTTCAAAGCCTTAGTGTTTGATTTCAAGTCTAATGGGAGCCTTGAGAAATGGTTGTACTCCCACAACCATTGCTTGGATGTGCTGCAAAGGATAAGCATAATGATGGATGCTGCTTCCGCATTGGAATATCTCCATTTTGGTTATACAACACCAGTGGTTCACTGCGATCTGAAACCTAGCAACATATTGCTCGATGAAAGTATGGTTGCTCATGTGAGTGATTTTGGTATGGCAAAGTTTTTGGATGAAGAAAATAGTGTTCGGCATACCAAGACACTTGCAACGCTTGGATACTTGGCACCAGGTTTGGCATATTTGACTTCTTTTTAGTTGCTTTTTGATCCGTATTTTACGTGAATTATATGTCAATCTTCCATGTTTTCTTTTTTTTTTTTTCCACTTTAAGCGTGATGTATTGCCTTTCATATCACAGAGTATGGACTCGAAGGGCGGGTGTCAACGAGAGTTGATGTGTATAGTTTTGGTATACTTTTGATGGAAACCTTTTCAAGAATGAAGCCTAGTGATGAAATGTTCAAAGATGATTTGAGCCTGAAGAGTTGGATTGAAGAATCTCTACCTAATGCAACAACTCAGGTTGTAGACGCAAACTTACTTGGGCAACAAGATGAGCATTTCAGCGAGAAATTGGAGTGTGTTTCAATGATCTTCAAATTGGCTTTGAGTTGCTGTGCTGAATGCCCACGAGATCGGACTAATATGAAGGATGTTGTTGCGGCACTTCAAAAGATAAAACGTCAACTTGAGTCTTTTCCGAATCTCTCGGCATGAAAGTACGTTCTTTTACTTAATCCAACTGATCAAGTTTGTTCCACTCAAATAATCTTTCCAATGTCTTTTGTTGCAGGATGATGCCAAGATTTGAAACATGAAGCAAAATAAGTTATATTATCCACCTTAAGTGTGCTGGTATATCAATAATATATTATTAAGATGCCAAAGTTTTTTTTATTTTTCTAGTCTCTAAAAATCTTGTTCTCTCAGTCTATTTGTATGTGCCCAATTTTAAGTTCATTTTCTTAGCTGTCATTTGAAAGGCAACCAGAGGAAAAACTGCATTTGCATAGTTCTGTTTCATGACAATCTTTATCAATTCTGTCCTTCAAATAGCATCCTTCCCAAATTTCGCCTGTTGAATAACTAGTTAGCGTCCCGTTTGTTAATTCATTCCACTTTGGGTTGTAACCATGATGATATAATCATTATTGATGAAATGCGTAATCTGTTAGAGGTTCATTAATCACACCAACCAAAGCAAGAAAGCATTTAACCTTTTCTAATAGGACTCTGGAAAGCTCGAATCCTTTCAAGGCCAATTTAAATCTATGATACACTTTTATACTCTAAGCTATGGTCGGGTAAGGCCAATTTGAACATTTTTGCCTTTTTGAACCTGTATTTGAAAACATTTTGCATTAACTAAAATGTATAGTGGAACTAAGTATATAATATGATTTACAGAAAGTATCTCTTTGTTATGGCCTCTCGCTTGAGATCCCGCCGGACCACTTTCAATTGTGAGTTAGAAAATGCAAAAACAATGGCCATTATAATAAGTTGTTTAATTTGAATAATATGCATGAAATGAATAATCCTACCCACCAAAAAATTTTTTTTTTGTAGATAGGAAACTTGGGCCTTATGTCTCAACCAACTGGTGAAATTGGAATCAATGTGTAGGGCTAAGCTCAATATACTTAAAGATAAAATTTAAAAAAAAAAGTTTGAATTTTCTTAAGATGGGCTGGACCAAGTTGAAAATGGTTCTTCAATGGGTAATCTTGTTACCCGAGGATTGTGTTGGTCTTTTCTAAGACGACCACCAAAGAGTTTGGTTTTGTGGATGTTTTGACGAAATTTAGTTAGAATTCACAATGATGATTAATATGTGGATGTACAATATTAATATGATAGAAATAGGTGAAATTAATATGTGGATGTACAATATTTTTCTTCATCATTTTTTTAATGATAAAGGAGAGCTGTTGGAATTTGCACAATCCTAAGTTTCCGTACCTCTCTTAAATAGTGTGAAAGATTGGGATGGTTCAGTAACTTTATATTGTGAATTAGTTAGCATACAATCTTATATTATTTAATTTTATTTTTATTGTTATTATTTTGATTCAAGAAAGACTCTGGACCTTACAAGGAGAAAAGATAAAAAATGAGAATTTGAAAATCAAACCAAGAATCCCACGACAACTTGATTAATGTTGCCAACAAATTGAGTTTGGTCATGAAGACGCGCGTGTGCAAATATAATTTGCAAAGTAAGAGTATAGCAATACTATTGCATGTGAAGTTGCACGGAAAGAATAGAAAGGTAAAAAGTGATTTGATAAAAACATTAAGGATACAGAGTGGAATTAGTGCAAATGAGAAATTGCAAGAGAGAGGGTGGCTGGGCTTGTAGTTTTGAAAATCTTGCTCCTTAATTGGATCAGTAAAGATTTCGGACTAATTCTACTTTGCACTTTTGAACTAATACCATTTTTCCACTTTGCATTTTAAAATTCAATTTTAGACCCTTTATATCCTAAATTTTTAAATTTGGATACCGTACACTTTAAAGTTTAAACTTTTAAGTTTGTCCCATTTAAATCCAATTAATGACAACATTACTAAAATTAACGAGATAAATGATAGTATAAATTAATAATAATATATCATTTTATTCTAATTGCGATCCCTTGCCTTTTTTTTGACCTTTTTCAACATATTATCATTGATTATTAACAAAATTTACGAGATAAAAGAAGATACAAATTAATGATAATGCATAGTTTTGTTCTAATGGCGATACCTTGACCTCTTTTGACTACTTTCAGCGAATTATCATTGATTTGTAGAATTCTCCGTGTCTTTAATTTTGCTAATATTGTCATTGATTGGATTTAAATGTGACAAACTTGAGAGTTTGAGGTACAGAGTATCTAAAATTGGGAATTTAGAGTGTAAGGTATCTAAAATTGAAATTTAAGATACAAAGTGGAAAAGTTATATAAGTTTAGGAGTGCAAAGTGAAGTTAGTTCAAACATTTAAGAAGCCATTTCAACAAATTGAATATGGATATGTTAGTTAACGATTTATCCGGTTTTTGAACACCTCAACTCGGCAATGTAGATGAGTATTTAAAAAGAGCACGAGAATATATATGAAATTAATATATTTGCACCAAAAAAGACTTTGGATAACACAATGAAACCATGTAAATATACAGCACACTTTATACGAGTTGCTACCGTATCACGTAAGAATTTTTTTGTTCCACTTTTCCTTAATATGTTATTTTATGGAACTGTAAAATTTTGTGAAGTCTTAGTCCTTAATGCTTAGAAAAGTTTGGCCCAGAATAAAGTCTTGACTAGCGCTAGAAAATTTAAATATGCTTGCAAGGATAGGAAATATACAGATGCTCCAGGCATTAAATCTCGCCCACTTGCCATCATCCTCATAGCGCTCTGACATCTAGGCTTGAGAAAGTCCAACATTCACTTTCAAAGAAGACCTGGACTCAGAAATTGGAGACCCGAATTGGTAGAATTATCCCAAAACACTCCTCCAATCTCTCATATATTTAACAAGCTCAAAATTGGTAGAATTAGTATAGCTGGATTTTTCTTGGTTGAATGGGAAGATAATCTGTCGATTTTGTTGAAAGAAACTATTCCATTGTCGTTGTAAGTCTTAGCCGTGTTGGTATTGGAAGGACATGCCATAAATTTGAAAATGAAAGTATGCCCAACCGGACTATTTAAGATAGAGGAAACTATCCGCCCAATCCCTATATTATTCTTATTGCACTTTTTTGACCCCTAAATAATATATTGTCGCAAACAAATTCCTTCATAAAAAGAGTGTCACGTTTAAGGGGTTACGTTAAATGTAGCCATTAGTGGCAACGGAATGGGGTGTAAAATTGACCAAACACAAGAGGGTACCAAGGAAATTACCTACGTTCATTTAGCCGCTCAACAATACATTGTCGTAAACAAGCCCCTCAACAAAAAAAAAGTGTCATGTTTAAGTATTTACATCAAATTTAGTCGTTAGTGTTGACAGAATGAGGGGTAAAATTGACCCAACAAGAAAATTTCTTAACGTTTTTCTTCTTGACATTTTTCTTAACCTTCATTGGGCTTTGATGAAATAATGAGGCAATTTCATCTGTGACGTCTTTTAGAACATTTATCTTGATGTCTTGGTCAATTTTCTAAAAATTGTGGGCTCCAAGCTCAAGATACCAAGAACACCTAAACTTGCAACAGTTTCTTGGGAGAAAAAAAAACGGAATATAGAGCAATGGCACAATGTATGGCTAAACATGAAGTGATAAACAGGAGTTGATTTTTTTGGAAATATATACTTGTGGTTTACATTATTTGAACGATGGTCTATGTTGAAAGGATGAGACGGAAGACTGTTAATACAAGGTTAACAATTACTTTTGAACGGAAGACCTGATTCTGGAAAGATGATGGTCCTTATTAATTACTTTTTGAGCAGTATTACCCAAGATTTAGTTAAGCATTTGTTTTCTAAAGAAGAATCACAAGATTTTAGAAAAAAAACTACTTAAAAAAAAGAAGAAGATTAACATATATTTATTTGAATTTGGAAGAAAAGTCGATTGCCAAGTTTCAATAGGACAGAATCGGTGCTATTATTGTCTCTATCTTTGTCCTCGCATACGTGCATTAGATGCGCCCAATGACTAGTATATATGGGAATAATTAGGTAGCTTGCTAGTTTATTGATCCAAGTTTCTTAAACCAAGGTTTTGAGAAGTCATTTCAACAAATTCTATATGGATTTGTTAATTAACTATTTATGCAGGTTTTGGAACACCACAACTCGGCATTGACAAAACTTTATACTTCAAACGTAATAAAGCCATGTAAATATATAGGCACCAACACACTGTCTATGCGAATTGCTACCGTATCAAATAGTAATAGAGCTTGACTTGTGCCAGAAAATGAAAGAATGTTTGCGAGGATAAGAACCATAAATTAAATGTCGCCCACCTGTCATCATCTCCATAAAGCTCTAACATTTTGGCCGAGAAAGTCCAACATTCGCTTTCAAAGAAGACCTTGACTACAAAGATTGGAGACTTGAATTGGTAAAATTGGTATAATTAGTATCTCATTATTTTTTTTTTGAAAGCTCAAAAATTGGTATAATTAGTAGCTGTGGGTTGATTGGGAAGATAATGTGCCAATTTTTGTGGAAAGAAACAGTTCCATTGTCGTTGTTAGTTGCAAGTCTTGGGCTTGTTAGAAGTTAGAGCTGGATAAGCACATGCTATAAATTTGAAAATGAAAGTATAACATTTTGCCCGACCGGAATATTTAAGATACGCGTTACAAAACTTGTCAAAATGAAAGCACGACAGTTGGCCAATTGAACTACCCAAAGACATGTCACAAGAGTTATATAATTAGTCTTCACCCTTGTCTTCCTTCTTGGCATGTGGAAAAAATTATTAGGTATCGAAATTGCGGTCTTGATTTGAAATGTTGATAGGTCTCAAAAACCACTTGAAAGTTGTCCTATATTTTGATCTTTGTTTTTTTTTTAAAAAAAATTATGAGAAAATTCTAGCAAGTAAATAGATAAATAACTAAATAAAGTAAAATAATAAGGAATGAGGGTTCATTTGCTAGCATCAGCTGAAGATTTTGTACAAGGCTATTTCTATGAACTGGTATAATATCCTTTTTTGTTTCTAATTCAATTTGGATCAGTATCTTAAATTGCTTGCTTTATCTATTTTCTATTTATACCTTTCCATGAATAATGTTACTTTCTCTTAGCAGTATAAAACTTGACGTACGTAAAGATGAATCTCGGCCGGTTAGGTGCAAATGAGAAATTGCAAAAGAGAGGGTGGCTGGGGTTGTAGTTTTGAACTTTGATCCCCTTTAAATTTTGAGAAATACTTTTGAAGTCCTTATCTCGCTGGCCTATAATTTTGGGAAAATGCCTCATGCCCATTGCCTTCCACCTCGCCTCCTCCCCAAGCTTTTGCTTTAAGAAAAGCTTTTAAAAATTTACTCGTCCAATGTTCTTAGATTTTGCGTTTGGCTATAGTTGGTCCACT